GATGGCTCCTGCCTTAAAGAGCTACTATCCACAATAGATAAAATATGAGGCAAGGATGCATTATTACAGATGGGGACCTGAGCACACAGAGTGGAAATGACTTGCTGAAGGTCACATAGTAAGTGTGTAGCAGAGCTGGGAATAGAACCCATTTCTCCTTAGTCCTGGCCCATTGCCTTACCCTCAAAACCCTTCTTCTCTCACTACACTCATCTGGAGTGAATGTGAGTTTTGGGGAGATGCTATGGGTCCAAGTTGTTGCGGTCAGTGTCCCATTACACTCCCACGTGCTGTATGCATGTGTGCTGCTGCCGCCAGAGGTGAAGGTAAACCAGAAGAACCCTCTAACCCTATCTCAGAGAGGTGGGTTATGCGTTTGCAGGAGTGCCCTTAGATGGGCTGCCAGGAGAAGTCCCCCAGCCTCTCAGATTGTCCCCCTTCTTTGGCCAGGCTGGCCTCTGTGGACCAAGGGGCAGGACATTTCCACAGATCCCTCCCCCTCATTCCCCCCTGCCACCCCAGCCAGGGAAGGTTTTTCTCCTTTTCATGTAGTTTGAGATTTCACAAAACTGGAGCCCATTTTGTGAGGTTGTCAGACATTTGACAAGGCTCCCTCCCATGTCCTCAAACTTCAGTGGGGCTTGAACCTCTCCAACAGGAACACACATTCACCCACCACTATGAACTCTCCCTTCAGGTGGAGAGAGGGCCTGATTCTGACCCCAATGGACTCAACTGACAAACTGCCAGTGACCTCAGTGGTACAGGATCAAGCCCATATGGCTCCATGAGCACCACATTCTCTAGACTAATGCTCTCCCCAGAGTCTGTCATTGCTCCACTGCTCAATCTGCTGCCTCCTATAGAAACCAAAGATTCTCTACTGCCAGTGCCACTGTTACTGTTCTCTCTTCAGGCAAATGCTGTTCTGTAAAAACAAACACTCTGGTGTAAAACAATGGCACTGATCAAAGCCAGAGGGCAGCATTCTCCATCCACTAATAGCATTGCAATCCAGGACCAAAACTGTTGATGCCAATAGAGGTATGACAGTGTAAGAGCAATGAAAGTCGGTCCCAAAGTATTTGTTTCAGTGCCTCAGGCCTATACTTCATTGAAGCCTCCACTTACAACACCACAGCCTGCCTGGAGTTCAAGTCCAAGAGCGCCTAGATTTCAAAGCCAAAGAAATGTAGCAGTTAATGGATATTAACTGTTTCATGAAAGAGGCGGAGCACATATTTAAATAAATATTGTCTTAATTTCTTGTCATTCTTAATCTCTTTTCCTTGTACCCTCCCCCTTAGCTTCTCTTCCCTTGCCTTCCTCCTATTTATTCTGTGCTTTCTCTGTCTTTAAAATTCTTTGCTCTCTAGTCCCCACCATTTATTTTTTGCCTCTCTCTTTGTTTTTGATTCTTCACCTGCATCTCCATTTCATTGCTGTCCTTTATTCTCTCTCTCTCTCTCTCTCTCTCTCTCTTTCACTAAATCCCTATGCCGGCCTGTCGTTGATCTTCTTTTAAACACCTAAGAGTGTGTAATTTTGTACCCAGTACAGGCCAAAGCATTGTGTGTCTTAGCTATTTGTTAATCAACTTATTTTTAACTTTCTCATTGACCTGTAAGGCCAAATATGTTTCCATTTTTAGTACTGAGAAACCAGTGGTTTATAATCACAGAACAGATTTGACACATATTGAACACAAAGAAACAAGCTTGTGAGTAAAAATAACCAAAACTATATATAAATAGGCATTCCACTGCATGTTTTTGTATAAGAGCGCATCTTTATATAATAATAAACTAGAATATAGTCTTCCAAGAAAAACTGTAGAGGCTGGGGTATGAACAGAAGATATATGCACTAGGACAACTCCATTTGAATGAGCTAATTGATTAATTACATGTGCAAATCATGATATTATCTGTTTGCACATACAGATAATTGTGTATGGAATTTCCAGTTCATAAGTCTGAACCAAAGCCCAATGAAGTAATTGAGAGTCTTTCCCTTGGTATCAGTGTGCACTGAATTGGGTGCATAGGCAAAACTGATGGGTTTGCATATGCAAATGGGGGTGCAATTAGGGTGACCAGATAGCAACTGTGAAAAATCGGGATGGGGTGGAGGGGTGGGGGGTAATAGGCGCCTATATAAGAAAAAGTCCCCAAAAACGGGACTGTCCCTATAAAAACAAGACATCTGGTCACCCTAGGTGCAATGGACCTTCCCCTCTACATTTTAAGATGTGGCACAGAGATCTGAGAAGAGAGCAAAGTACATGGAGTGACCAGTTGTGCTGGTAATTTTATAAGTAAACTACTACTGCCTATACTGAGAATTTCTGATTGGGAGCTTGGCACAGCAGCTGTAAAAAGCAGTTCAGCAGGTAAAGCTGGAGGTAAAATGGGGTCCAGTCGGGGCCACCCTTCCTCCCTCACACCCTTAAACCCAGGACTGGGCAGGGGAGACCACCCCCTGTGGGGCACTAGGAGCCATAGGTCAACCTCTCCAAAGTCATGTGACTTTTGAGAAAGAACCTGCAGAGAGAAACTAGCCAGAGACTGAAGCCAGTACGTGAACTGCAGAAGCAGTTTAAACAGAGACCAATAGACATTGATGTTGTCTAGCTAGATCTCTATCTAGCTAATCCCCCCGAACATAACCCCACTGAAAGGGCTTAAATAATAAAACAAAACAAATCAGGAAGCGGACATGACATCTGTTGCCATCATGTTGTTTACTTTTCTTGTGTGTTCTACCTCTCCTTCTTCCTTTTGTCTGTCTTGGCTACTTAGATTGTAAACCATTCAGGGCAGGAACTGTTGCTTATTCTATGTTTGTGCAGTGCCTAGTACAATGGGCCTCCTTTCTCCATTGGACCCTAGGCTCTATTGTAATAAACATGATGGATAATAACTATGCTGGCAACAATACATTTGGCCTCAGGTATCTTACATATGAACAAATCAGACAAAAACAAATCAACAGCTTTGGGAGGGGAAATGTTGGCCAAGGATGTGGATCAATCCCAGGTCCTATGGTGGGAGCTTTTCTGAATAAGTAACCTTAAGAATTCTTGGTAAAATAAATGCTTTTTGCATGTATCTGCACTTTCTCATTCTGCTGGGGAACAGAAATGGACAAAATACAGTGAAATAGGATGCTCTTGCATTAGGTCTATCCCAGTACTGAAGACCCTAAAGGTTTGGATAGGGTTAAAATATTGCTCTGAACATTTAGGTGCTTATCCAAATCCAACATCAGCTTCTTCCAGTGACATTAGTGTTGCCACTATGTGGTGCAGGAGAAGAAGAAGATTTATCAGAAGCCTTGGTAGCTACAAATCAAGATAGTAAGAATGGGCCAATGAATGATACCTTTACCCACAATGAATAGTACCATAATCCAAAGTGGTTCCTTTGATTTCAGTGGTAAAACTTGTGGAGCAGGCTTCTTTTCAACATCAGTATCAGACTCTGTCCCAGTATCGTCAAGTTTGGTAGGATTCAGGTCAATAAACTGACCATAATTCTAGTGTAAATTTATTGTGTTTAATGTATTCTTGGCCAATTCACAGGATAGTTTTTCTACCAAGTTCTATTCTTTACAATATTTTCAGTGCAAACTATTTTTCTTGATATTACCTGATTGATGGCTACATCTCTTCTGTTTGTACATGGCTTATATTTGTTCTCCTCCTTTCTCTTGACCAGATTTTCAACTGATGCAGCTCCAGTGAAGTCAAGGTACAATTATGCTGTACTAATATATACGTCACTCTGTGAACCAATGCTGATTTACTCCTGTCATTTGCTGTGTTAAACTGAGTGAATATGGCAATTTGTTGGGCTCTCAATAAAAATGTAAAAACAATGTAACTTTTGTTCCTCATTTCATATTTGTATATTCTAACTGAATCTGTAAAGATGGAGCTACAGTAGTTATCCATTTCATTAGTCCCATTCCAAGTTTCAAAAGTTTTCTCTCGAAATTTGGCTGCTTTTGGCCAATGATCTTTTAAAAAAAACTAGCATTTTCAACTTTTAATCCAAATCACCAAGAACAAGGGCTGAAGACTAGGTTGGAGTGGGTGTATGACTGTATTCCCCACCCACAGGAAAAGCGCATGCTATTTATCTTAAATGAGTGATGCAGTCTATTGGCCTGATTCACCTCCTGTTCTATAATTTCCCCTACTTCTTTCCCTGCCATCTGTTTAGACTTGGTAAATATGAAGCTGGTAATTGTAACACTTTGGCCTCTAAAGCTTACATTATCCCTTGAAGGCACAGGCTTATGGCAGGGTGGATCAGTTTCTCCCCCAGGGGGACTGGGCCTGGACCCCATGAAGGGGAGCACATTCCACCATCTTCAGGGCATGCACATTTCCCCCATAATCCCTGGACTGCTGGGGGGGGACTGTATTTGCAGGAAGTAGAGAGGGAGAAGAAAGGTGGTGCATGGTGCTTCACCCTCCCTGACTGGCCAGTGCAGAGGAGGAGATGGGACATTTTCCTGCCTTTCCTCTGCTCTCTCATGGGCAATTAGGGCTCAGACGTGCTAGGAGGAATCCGCCCGCACAGCAAGGTGAGCACAGGGTCTCTGATTTTTGAGTGGTTCTTGCAGGGGGGTAGCTGTGAGGGTGTTGGCATCCCCTCAGTGTACATTCACACAAGGACCAGTTGCAGCCTAGCCTGTGATTTGAGGCACTTGAAGCCACTTAACTCTTCTCACAGAAACAGAATGTCAAAGGCAAACAGGAAGACACAGCAATTCCAAACACCCAGCTCAGAAAACAGTGGGGTGCCATACCTGAGTCTTCAAAATGTAGGGAGATCCTAGGAGCACATTTTTAGAAAAATGTCTGATCATGGTTGAAACTCCTCAGAGTAAGACCATTCACTTACAGTAGGAAATATATCTCAGTATTCTTTTGTGTGGTAGCTGGCCCTTTAAATTTGGTAGAGAAATGCAGTTGCAGCCCTAGAGGGGTCATTAGGTAGTTGACTGCTCGTTGGTGCATCTCCCTTGCTTCCAACTGGTAAGTCTTCTTAGCCCTTAATATATTTTCCCCTACTGTTATTCTAGAAAATAGCCTATAGGCTGGGCATAGCATGTGGCAACTCTTTAACTAGTTATGAATGGATGTATTATGTTTTCCACGTTCTAAATGACTGTTTTTAAAAAGCACTTCTCCTGGCAAGTGTGTGTTTTTTTCTTATTACTAATTTTAAAATGTCCAGTAAATCCTTTGTACAGGATCTACAAAATTCATGTTGGTTTCTGTACATCCTGACTAGGGAGCCCAAGGAAATTACTAAATGTACTAGAGGAGTAGATTTGTTATGGGATTTAGAGCAGTTGCCTATTCAACTCCAGCCCAGATCAGCAGTGACTAAAAGTTATCAGCTGATTGTCACTGTGTGGCCTAAGTGAAATGAGTATTGGTGGTCTCAGTCAATTTCCCTGTAGATAGTTTTCACCATCATGACTGACACCATCCCTGGCATTCTTAGCAGACAGGTGAAGAATTCAATGGATCTTAGATAATGAACCTTCTAGGTCAGGATTGAGGTATATTGGCAGGGCAGTGTGAGGGGGAGTGTAGTATTGCTGCCTGTGCTTTATCTGTTCTGTGGATTCCATACACAAAGGGTTTCAGCAGAATCAATCTGGGATAATTCACAAAGACTATATTCATATGCCATATTTACAAAACAAAGAAATTCTGTTCCCAGAGCTGGTCTAACAGCCTCAGCGATGATGATGCACAAATAGGGAATAGCCCAAACAAAAAGAAAAAGAAGCCCAGCTGATTTCAGTTTAATTGAAAATGCCCAGGAAGAAAAGGGAGTATTTCTCAAAGGGAAAAGGACAGACTTGGTAGCAAAAGCAATGTGAGTTGCAAACTCCCATCAAACAACACAGAGACTAAAGAAAATTGCTTCTCCCTCCCCCCCCCCCCTTTTTTGTTTTTGTTCGGATTGTTCATTATAAAACCAATAAACTAACACAGAAATACAAGAGAGAAAACAACATCAAAGACCTACAATGAAATGTTACTGAGATTAGTAAGGCTGTGGGCCAAATTGACAAATGTCTGTGAATGCAGACATGCACAAACACTTTGCCATGTGTTGATTTTAGTTGTGCAAATACTTTGGTGCAGACTTTGGACAAATATTGGGCTTACATACACACATAGCTAGTCACATATGCAGAATCAGGAGAGTATAAAATTGTGAGTGCATTTTGCTCAGGCCCATTTACAAATCTGTCCTGTAAACCAACAGTGTCTATTTATCTATATAAATCTTCAGTGATGTGCCCTCTTCTTTCACGCTTCCAAGGCTACCTGATTGTAGAATTGGAGTTTGTCTCTTGTGCTGATTTTCATAATGACTTGGTATTTAGTGTGTGTAATGTAGTCTTACAATTTTTTTACATTTTGGCCAACTTTCTGATTCATGAACAATTCATCTCCTGCTGTGTGTTTTTGCCCTTTTGATTAAGGAAGGTTAATGGCCTGTATTTGCAGAAAGGGCTTGTTTTGCTTTCTCACCTAATCCAATTTAAAGGTATGCTAGTCTAATTTTTGCTAGTCTTTCTTTTGATCCAGTCACTACTATCACAGATTCTGAATCATTCCTCAGTGGTAAATATCACCGCACCAACATTTGTAAGGAACACTGTGTGACTAACTAATGCACTTAAACCTGTACGTTTTCTGGAGACATAAGGAGCCTGGGCCAGAGGGGATATGGCTTTTAGTATGAATTTCTACAACTCAGCATTACTTTTTCTAATTTATTGGAATTTATAATCATTTTGGCAAACCAAGACCTATTAGAAGCATGCAGGAAGTTACTAATCTTTTCAGATTCCTCATTTATCTCTAGAGGTATTAGAGGATCACATAAAGTCTGTTGCTGCAGAACTGTCCCTCTCCTTTCTTCACCCTATCCTCAATTTCCACAGGAGAAAGTAATTAGTGTCTTAAGACTAACCTCCCAGGGCTCTTGTTTAATGGAACATGAACAATTTATTTGAGTAATTTTCACTTCCTAGGATTTTCAAAGTGTTAGTCAGAATAAAGTCTATTATGAATATACATAATGATGTCTACACTGAGTACTTTTTAACCTGAAAAGAAAGGCAACTTGTGTCCTTTTCTTTTTTTTTAGATAATTTAGGTTTGGTATTTTTTTGGTCCAGTCTCCCTAGTGCCTTGGCAGCCTATTGCCATGTGGGAGACCTGGGTGAGGGTGGTGTTTAGTATATATCTGTTTGTCCCTGGCCCTTGCAGGCTACTCATCATGCACCTGCACAAGCAACAATCTGGCACTAACTGCAGTGGCAGCAGTTGCCTAAAATAAATGGTGGGCTTCCAGTAGTGAGTTTCTTTCGTACACTCCCCTACAGGATGACCATACTTTCAAAAGTAGAAAAATAAGGACATGACGGTCAGGGAAGGATTTTGGTTGGGGACAAGAGAGGCTTATGCAAAAGTTTAGAAGTAAAGGGATGATTTCTTCACTTTCTTCCTTTCCTACCCCTTTCAGAATGATACATTGGGCCAGTAAAGAGCCAAACTATAAAAACAGTATAAACAAAACCAGGTTGGATCTCAGCTAATGCCTGTGATTAAATGGGAGGAGGTCAAGGTGTCCAATTTCCACTTTGATGACATAAATCAGTTTCCCTCAAGAGAAATCACTGGAGCTATGCTGATTTATGCCCTGTGAGAATCTGGCTCATGCTCTTAGCTGGGCTTGATGAACCCTACTGATTTCTGTGTGGATAAAAGCCGCAGCACAGAGTTGGGAGGGATTCATCTTAATTTCATCCTGTTGGCAATCCCCAAGCTGCTTCTTGTCAATTTCACATCACTGCCTCTCCCCATGCTGCTATTTGTCAATTTCACTCTGCTGCAGAGTGCTAAAATGACAAGAAGTGATACAATGACCCTCACCGACATTAAAGTTATAATGAGAAGCATAGCAATTGGCCAGCCCATATATTTTGCTTTCCATTCCTCATACATATATTATGTATGCCTGTTTTATGAAGTTGAAGGAAGAAGACTCAAGGTTGTTTAAAAGTAGGAGGAAATACCTGTGCCAGCGCCACTTTTCAATGCTAGGAAGGAATAAGTGCAAGTATATTATTTTATCAGCAAATTGTAACTCTCTTTTTTGAAAGTTTAAAAACATTAACCTCAGGCCACTATGTAAAATCATATTCTTTGCAACAAATGCTGCTCTGGTGGCTGATTTCAATAATAAAAGACAACAGGAGACCATAAAAAAGGACCGTGCAAGATGCTGAGAAACATTCCTTTCCCAGGAGGGTGTACTTAGCTTTGTCTTCAGACACTTGAGAAGTATCATTATCATGACAAAGCAAAATGGCAGACCCTGGGGAACATTACAGCAATTATAAAATGATCCTCTTTAAAAAAGAAATTGTGATTTATTTGGGCTTTGCTCATTGATGTTTGTCACTTTCATCATTCAAACACTTGTTCTCAGCTGCAGGGTAAAAAGGTTTATTAGATGAGCGATGGAGAACATGCTGGAACAAAGTGTCAGACATTGGCACCTCAGTTACACCATTTGCCCATTGTACAAAAAAAATCTACATTTGCAAATGTGATAGGCATAGACTCATCATCATCATTGTTTATATATTTGTACTACAATAGCACCTAGCGCTCCTAATTATGGACCTAGACCCCACTCTGCTAGGCCCTTTACAATCACAGAACAAAAAGACAATCCCTGCCCCAAAGAGCTTACATGTGTTCTGTGGCTGCATTGTAGGTGTTGACATTTGAGAACTCAGCCTATTTCTCTAATACATTGTAAAGTGCTATAGGAATATGTGTTATAATGTATTATTATTATATTGATTTTTATTTCTCATTTTAAAGAAAGTTAGAGCCTAAATAAAGGTGTTTTTTAAAGCTTATGGGATCTCCTGTCTTACTAAGCCCCGTTCCCTGGGTTTAGCATGACAGCAGAAAAACCAGTTATTTTAATCAGAAGAATTTCTCTTTGGGAGCATGGGCAGGGAGAGTAGGCTGGATGGGTTTTCATTTGTGTGTATTTCTGCTGTGTCCAATGGCTCATATTTAAAGAAGTCACCTTCTAAGGACAATAGCCACTTTCTTCCTCTAGAAGAGCAATCAGGCTAAGCGTGAATCAGATTCATTCCAGGAGCCAGAAAATGAGTAGGTATGCAGATGTGAATGGGAGCTACACAGAACTCCAGGCCTTAACTAACATGTGCTGGCAACATGTGTATGGGATTAAATGAATCAGTTAGGAGCCTAATAGAGCAGATTGCAACAGTCTTTATTGTAAAGCAAGGAGAAGACTGCACACTCAGAGGAGCTCTGCACTGTATACCTAACAATCTGCCAATATAAAGAGACTGTTTGGACAAACTCCACGAGGAATAGTTTTTGGGTGAGTTTCTTGAGGAAAGACACCATACAAGTACTTAACTAATATACCACTTGCACGCTGCCTGTGTTGTCCACGCACACAGTGCACAATATCCAATAATAAACACCGCTTTTAAATGTACCTTTTACTACCTCATCACAAGCTGCATTGATTTCACCTCACATGCAGTATCCTTAGCACAGAACACAGCAAGTCAAAAGAGAAACATAAATAACCTAATTTTCTGGGGGGGGTTAAGTTCCATCTGGGAACATATGGAACAGATCGTGTTGCAATGTAGCAAAATAAAATATTTCAAGTAAACTACCTCATTATCATCAACAAAAATAAAGCGATCCAGCCAACCTTGCTATTTCAATTTTCTGCTCATTTTCTTTAGTTCACGTCAGTCTCAGCACTCATTTTCTTTAGTTCCTGAAAGACTCGCTGTAATAGCAAACCAATGAGCAAAGACCATTTTCAGACATGGTAATTATAATGAAAAAGGAAAATATCAGGAAAAAAGATTGAATTTCGACAGACTCTGCCATTTATAATCCACCAAACCCAAGTTAGAAGGGACTCTCCTTTT